TTATTTTATCATCTAACACAAGCAATCAAACCAACATTAGGCATTATCTTGGTGCTTTGAAGAAAAACAGAAATGCAGTGCAACATGATAATTAACAGCAAATGTGCATTGGCTAAATCACATCATACACACGCTTATAATTCTTTATAAATGAAAAGAACATATTCAAATGTAAGCCTTTACTGTTAAATGCGATTGCCGTTATTATTGAATTTCATTAGTCCCAGTTTTGATTGATGCAATGACATTAAGCGCGACTTGTGTAGATTAATTTAGTAAAAAAGGCTTGCCTGCTTTCTTTGGCGTGTATTTATATACTACTTTTACTATCTAATCAATCTCAGCATGCCTTAATTTTGTGTCGCTATATGTTTGCCTCACTAAGGTTAAATTATGCCTACGTCTTTCTTTGGCCTGCGCTCTGGAAGTGATCTGTTAATTCTGCTGAACTTTAATTAAAACTGAAACTAAAACTGAAACTAAACTATATAAAAACTAAATACAAATGCGTTCACAAAATAAAAACTAAACTAAAACTAACAAAAATATGAATGAAACTAATAAAAACTAAACTGAATTTTATGGCAAATTTGAAAACGATATTAAAATAAAACGAATTTAAAAATTCAAAACTATAATAACCTTGTTGCTATCCAAGAGAAATGAAAGAAATCTCATATGTGATTTGTATTTCCTGTAAAACTGCTCTTGTTTATATACTTCACATACTGGCCAAGTTGTGCTGAATGAGAAAACTGACAGTAGAAGAAGACAGTTTATGCTAATGTCCGCTGTAGCGCCCCTTGTGGTAATACTGAGAATGCAGTGTATTGCAAGCTGCAGATGAATTTCGGGTTGCATTAATGCACAAAATTCAACTTCTGTTCACATACTTGCAATAACAGCTGTTTCGTGTAATTCTGAGTTTTGGTTTTAACCATCATGACAAGCGGTGAATGCTAGGACATATTGTTGGTCGTTTGATTTGTAGTCCTGTTGTATTTGGTAGCTCCGCCCATAGTGCAAAATTACTGGTTGAAAATCTACATAGATTTATATTAAGTATCAGATATGTTCTAATTGGCTAAGATTAGGGCTGCACGATTAATCGCATGCGATATTTAACGCGCATCTTGTCAGAAAGCCGGTTCTGTAATCAGCGGTAAATCTCCATCACCTGCGTGCTTTCACATTGAGCAGCATTAACTACACAGAGCCGTTGTTCACTGACGAGCTGTGCAAAAAA